ATGTGGAATATACAATCGTAACTACTGTCACAATTGCAATGGGGGTGTATGCAGTTCGCCAATTCAAGCCCTGGAGCTTAGATTGCCGGTTTCCATGGGTGAGCGGCAGAAACTCATGACTGTGGGGTTTACACCATCAGCTGTTTACCATACAGAAAGATCTATAAAAAATACGCAAACGAACCACCTATATATTGCATATGGTTGCATAATGATAAAGAGGGTGTACACCTTATTAAAAACAATCTGCTGTTCACCTATAGTTACTATTAACCTGAGCCCCTGATACATTTTACATACATTTACATACATTTTACACCGTTGTGTAAGGTGTGGAGACCACGCCATTACAGGATAAAAATAGAATGTCAGTGTTTAAAAGCTGCGGTCTATGCAGCATTGCACGAGTATACTAGAGAAACTGGACTAGCAATGCTGAGGTTATTCGCACCATTTTGTGTCATCGCGCTCGTCTACTGGAGCAAGTAGTTGACCTCCGCAGACTGCGTTGATTTGGGCATGTGCTGCGTATGTCGCCAAATAGTTTACCATGACGCGTGCTGTTTTTCGAGGAAGGTATTAGAGCGAAAAGTTATGATGTGTCAAACTCAGACCTGGCATAAGGGAATGGAAACCCTAACCAAGACACTAGGTCATATAGGTCCCGTTACTCTCCCTAGGTGATAACCCCGAAATCATGGTAATCGGTGTTTGGAAGCAGCAACTGACATGGCTGAGTGTCGCAGTGGCGCTTGTGCATCTACTCATTAATCTCGCAACCTTGGTCTGTATGATTGCTTTATTCTCTCTGACTCTGCTGTCAGCATTCAAATTTTCCATATGCTCCTATTTAAACGGACAGCCAAAAGTCCGCAATGAAAATGGTTGCAGGGAAGTGCATGGTTAATGGTTGTAAAAACGGAAACTAAAGTCATTGTGTGGCGAACAGTGGAGGCGACTCACGAAGCCCAACCCCAAACACTAAAAGCTCATTTGTTGTACGTGGCAACCATGCCTTGTAGATCACAATAAGTTATAATCACTTACCTTTATTTGTGTGTCTTCGCTATCGTTTGCTGGTCTTTGTCAAATTTGACT